CCATTACTGAAGAAACCGTTAGTTCCACCGCTCTCACAGCGCCTCCTGCTGGCAGACAATCAGTTTGCATTTTCAATAATAAACCCATTTTCAGCAACATGCTTTTGTTGTTGCTCTATTTTTTTGTTTTCTGAAGCAACTCGGAGCATGTTTCATACTCGTTATATGCAATAATGCATTTTCATTTGATTCTGATTGGCTCTAACAAGTCTGTGTCAAGGGATATCCCGCCTTTGCAGTGTGTGCCCTTTCTACTTCAAAAACTGCATGTCACCGCTTTTAGCCAAGAGATATTCGCAGTAGACATGCTCCATCTGAAAGCACGTGCTGGAGATTTACTACTAATCACCAGAAGCGACTTTACTGACGAGATGCGCATGAAAATCGCATTAAATTTTTTGCACAGCCCTATCTGTAGGCATCTTCTTTGGCCTGACAGAGCTGTCTGAGTTTTGCAGTGAACCATGTTTTGTCGTTGTAAGTTAAATGAGTCCTGGTAGGAATGCACATATCTTCACAGAGACATGATGTATGATGTTTCAGAATCCGTGAGCTCGTCTAGATTGGTGGCTGCAGCTTAAAAACACTCCAATCAGTGCAGTCGAAGCAGGCTTGTAAATCCCGCTCTGCTACATTAGTCCATCTTTTTACAGTCCTTATTACAGGTTTAGCTGATAAAGTCAAGATGGTGCCAAGTATGGCTGCCTCGGTGAGGAGCTCTCCAGTTGTTTTAATGGGTTTTTTTGGTAAGATTTTCCTGTCTGTTGTTTTTCAAACACAATAAGTTTTACTAGGGATGAACTGCTTAACATTCAGCAGTACACACCACACAATCTTCTACCGGTTTTTGATTACTCTGATGTGTTGCTGAACATTGTTGTTGATGGAGCAGCGGCGCTGTTCAAGCATTTTAAGGGGCCGTTCACATGTCGCACCTAAAACCGCGTGGAAAATGCTAACCGCGCAGCTTTCTCCTTTTTTCCAAAGTGCTCGGTAGCTTGCACTCTCGTTGCATCTGCCGTTGCTATGATGGATGATACGATGGCGCCGCAGACGGCAGCCGCAGTGTTTGGCTCTCCAGTGTTTGTACTGTTTTTGTTCGTTTTTCCTGTTTTTTGTTTCTCAAACACGATCAGTTTTACCAGGGATGAGCTGCTGAACATTCGGCAGAACACACCACACAATCTTCTACCGGATTTCGTTTATTTGGACGTTTTGCTGAACGTTGTACTTGGCGGAGCTGCTGCGCTGATCAAGCGCTTCAGGACGCGCAGACGGGGGAAGCGAGGCGGCGCGCTAGTGAAGCTCAGGAAGCGCGGATTCAGAACGCCATGCCGAGCATCCATATGGCGAACCTCCGCTCTCTACCCAACAAAACGGACAAACTTCTTCTGCTCTCCCGGACAAATAAGGATTTTTCACACTCTGCTGCTCTGTGTTTCACGGAAACCTGGCTGAATGATGCCATTCCGGACAGCGCGCTCCAACTTCCCGGTTTTCAGCTGTTCAGAGCGGACCGCGACGCAGAATCAACAGGGAAATCACGTGGCGGCGGGACATGCTTTTACATCAACGAAAGGTGGTGTACAGATGTAACAGTGTTAAAGAAGATGTGCTGTTCCGATCTACATTAACTGTAAGCCGTTCTATTCGCCGCGGGAGTTTCACTCGTTCATTCTCGTGAGTATTTACATCCCTCCGCAAGCACACGTGAGCTCAGCTTATCCTCTCCCCACTGCTCTTCTCCGTCTACACCAACGACTGCACCTCTAAAGACCCCTCTGTCAAGCTCCTGAAGTATGCAGATGACACTACAGTCATCAGTCTCATCAAGGATGGAGACGAGTCTGCTTACAGACAGGAGGTTAAAGAGCTGGCTGTCTGGTGCAGTCTTAACAACTTGGAGCTGAACACCCTCAAAACTGTGGAGATGTTCGTGGACCCCCTGCACCCCACTCACCATCATGGATAGCACTGTAACTACAGTGGAGTCATTCAGGTTTCTGGGCACCACCATCTCTCAGGACCTGAAGTGGGACACTTGTTGTTGTCTCCGTGTACTGGAAGCTTGTGACACTTTCCTTGTATGTGCAAACATACTTGGCAATAAAGCTCTTTCTGATTCTGATTCTGATTCTAAGCAACCATGACCTGCACTCTCCATGACGACGCGGAAGTTTCAGCAAAGTATAAATGGATTTCCAGCACTGAAAACCGCTTACAGTAGATCTGCTACTAAATTTACACTACATTAATTTAAAAATGGCTATCCCTGTACAGCTATCATCTTGGCTGAGCTTTCAATGTTGTTACAGAAAGGGTAAAGGTGATTGGTTGGTTCTTGTCAAATGACCTGCGGTGCACTTGCGGCATTCTGAAAAGTTGAGATGTTTTTATCTCGCTACGTGCGGACATGCCTGGAAATAAACAAGCGCGTCGCACGGCATGCGCGTCGCGACCGTGTCACTCTCTATTTGCACGTGCTTGCAGCGCGTCTACATTTGAAATAACGAACTTGAGCTCGCAAAAGAGACAATATGCGAACGGCCCCTAAGTGTCTGTAAGAGCAAGTGTGGGCGAATCTCCGCTCTCTACCCAACAAAACGGCTAAATAATGTGTTTTTTGAACATTAAAGGGGTCATATGATGCTTTTTTTAAAGATCATTACAGATGCGGCGGTGATATTATAACCGACATTAAAACAAGTTATTAACGTCAACATCCAAAAATGTTTCACAGGCTTATGAACGTACCTAAAAGTGATGTTTTTTTGGAGCAACATGGTGCCCCCCTGGGAGTTGGTGCCCTACGCAAACTGCGTACTCTGCGTATATGGAGCGGCGGTACTGACACAGACCAACAACTCCCGGACTCTGTTATAATCATTCACGGGGATTTTAATAAAGCAAACCTCACACGTGAACTGCCAAAATACAGACAGCATGTTACATGTCCTACCAGAGACAGTAATATACTGGACCACTGTTACATCACAATAAAGATATCACTCTGTCCCGGGCAGCTTTGGGGCTCCCTGATCGGTTACACTTTACTTGAAGGGGTGTGCATAAGACTGACATGACACCTTCATAATCATGACATGACACCTACATAATCATGACATGACACATGTCATGAATATTAAGGGTTTTAATGCATGTTTATGACAACTGTCATTAAGTGTCATTCGCTCAGTTATGTAATTTTTAATGCAAAGATGACATTGTTTGAGATGTCTTTGTTATGGGCTATGGTTAGGGGTAAGGGTAGGGGTAGGGTTAGGTCAAATAATGTCATATTTGCATTAAAAATGACATAACTGAGCGAATGACACTTAATGACAGTTGTCATAAACATGCATAAAACCTCCTTCATATTCATGACATGTGTCATGTCATGATTATGAAGGTGTCATGTCAGTCTTATGCACACCCCTTCAAGTAAAGTGTTACCCTCTGATCACTGTCTGGTTCATCTTATGCCGACCTACAGGCAGAAATTGAAATCAGCTAAACCTGTAATAAGGACTGTAAAAAGATGGACTAATGAACATTATATTAGTTATAAATGTCCTTTTTAATATTGTATTACTTTCCATGACTTTGTCAGGTCTAGAAATCACACTTTTAAAATTCCTTCATATAAATTACCACATATATCCAGGTTTTCCAAGACGTGAGAACCCTGGTTCTTAAATAAATGTAACAGTTGTTGAAGGAACCCTTTTAAGAACCCTTTTAAGCTTGTTTTGAAGCATATTTAGTCTTATTTAAAATAATTTTAAGCCATCTTGTTGTCCCTTGTGTGACTCAGCCCCTGGTTGGGAATCATTGGGTTCTTCTGCGGAAATTGAAGGAATCAAAATAGTGCCTTGAGCATGTTTTCATTTTTACAGTGTAGGTTGAGCCACAAAAATTCTGTACAAAAATGTCAGCACATTATATTCCTCTGAGTGAAAGGAGAATGTTGTCTATCATAAACAATCCCAAACATCTACTGGTGCTCCAGCCGCAATGTGCAAGAGATGCAGCCTGAGACATTATTCCTTTATTATCTGTTACACTTATTCAATAAACCGCTTTTCCACCGAGTCACATTCTATCTGCAATATACAGTGGGTACGGAAAGTATTCAGACCCCCTTAAATTTTTCACTCTTTGTTATATTGCAGCCATTTGCTAAAATCATTTAAGTTAATTTTTTTCCTCATTAATGTACACACAGCACCCCATATTGACAGAAAAACACAGAATTGTTGACATTTTTGCAGATTTATTAAAACAGTTTTTTTGCATTCCAATTTTTTTCTATTCATAAATGTTTGTATTTAAGGGCATAGCCTTTTATGAACTGCAGCATGGCAACACATGAGCTGGATAGTTGAGAGGTTTTCTACAAGCAACATCTGTGTTTGACTGTTGTGCTTCCTTCATGCTGTGTAAAATTCAAGGAGAACATGCATCATCCTGGTCGGCACTTTATGAAAACTTGTTTAGTACGGAAGTGGAAGATACTACATGTGGTAGCACACAAAACAGGCACACACATGACATGCAAAATAAACAACCTTAGTGTTTAGTGAGTAAGAACAATAGTTTATTTGTGGTCTTGGAGAAAAAGACTACATTCCCCTGCATTACTTTGGCTAGGTGCAGTGTGGGTAACACTGGTGCATTAGGGCATTTGTACATCAAAAAACAAGTCACAACACCAAATGTTCATAGTCATCCACATGTGGAAGTGCAGAAAAGTAAGAACTACACTACCCAAAATCCATCTGCAAAAGTATATGGTTTCTGAGGCGGCAAATTACTGGGCAAAAAAAATAAAAAAAGGCAGTTAGCTTAAACACCTACATGCACAAAAAAGAGAAAGACAGCGCAGAAGTTATGATGGGTCTTTATAATGCTAGTGTACAGAAAAAAATCCATTTATTTTGGGGAAGCAGAGTTTTTTTCCCCCCAGCATTCCTCTGATACACAAATTGACCTGGCTGTCACGACAACACTTTTCAGCTGGTGTTGACAATGAATGCTATAACAAACAGGAAGTGACCATCTCCACAGCTGAGAGGAGACTTGCATTCAAATAGACAATATCAAGGTAATAAAACAACTAAAAATAATTCATTTGTAGTATTAACAACAATAGTAATAATGATCAGATCAATAATTCATAATAAGAGAAGTTACTTTAATGGTCGTTAAGGAAAGAAACAGACATGACTGGAGAAATAACATGGAACCACAAAACGAATAGATTTTGAAACATTTGTACTGACACCGGTAATCAGGTTGTAAAAATTCAATATTGTTCAAACGGTGCAAAAGCGCAGACATGTGTCTACATATCGACCTGTTTTAAAATGCAGTTTACGGTGCATCCAATACAAGGAACCATTCTATACAAGTCATGTCCCATATATTCAATCCATAGAGGTCCAAATTGTGTTTTTGCACAGCAAGAACAGCCTCTGCAAGTTCACTTAAGATCTGCACATTGTGGATGTATGCTGCTGCTAAAAAACTTTGTTTTTTGTTTGCAAGTGTGAGTGAGATTCCTATAAAAAGTTAAGTACATTGTAGACAAGAGATACCAACTTTAAGAAGAGAAAGAATCCTACTGAGTTCACCGTTAAATGAATAAACACAATAAATGCAGATAAAATATAATTAATGCATGTCTTTCTTTACCATCTTCTTACCATCATTTCATGGTCAGTTTTCCTTTGAGAATGACAAATAAATATCAGCAGTAGACTGATAAACAATGTTCTTCCCCAAAGAGTTGAGATGCACCTGTCATTCCCCTCATCCGTGGTTGTCTCGGTCAACTTTGCCAAATATTAAGCACAGGTTTATCACAACTTAAGTGCTTGAATAAATCTAGAATAACATTTCTATACAAATTTAAATGTATATTTTTTTCCTCAATATTTTACAGTTGAATTTCTCTAGAAAGTTATTTTCTGAAATGTTTCTGATGTTCTTGCCTAGGCTTAATTCTGCCCCTCATTTTTTAACCTTCACAAGATCTAAAGAGTTGATCGCTTCAAAAAATTCCACATGAACCTGATTTTACATTACAATGATAACTTAACCAGTTCCCTCTGCCACTACTTTACAGCCCTCCAAAAGCTATAGAAAATATAAAAAAATTATTTTCAAAATTTTCCTCTCCCCACTGAGCATATTTCTATAATATAAAAATATACAATTCTCTTCCATAATTAAAATCTTGCCATGGTACCTACTGAGAAAAACAAATTTAAGAGAGGTGACATGCTCTCTCACTCCAGTTTAAAACTCGAGCTCTTGTGCCGTCCTTCATACATCATGCCATATATTTGATGCACTTTCGTCTGTCTTTTAGCTATCATAAGGACATTCACTGTGTTCTCAATCCATCATCTCATAACACTTTTTCTTCGTCTCCTTATTGATCCAAGTGATGGCTCTCGTATTTGTTCAGGATGTTACGGCACCGGCCGAGCTCTTTGCGCATGTCGGCTACTTCCTGTCTGAGTGCAGCGTTCTCGCGCTCAAGGAAGGAGGCGCGCACGGAGATCTGGTTCTCCTTCAGTCGTCGCGCATCACGAGAACGTTTTGCGGCCTCGTTGTTCTTACAACGACGACTCCAATACTTCTCATCCTTAAAGAAAAAAGAAATAAAAGAACATGTTAGAACACATAGGTTGCCAACAGTTGTAGGTGGGAAGCTTTGCCAGATGTGTGACAGGGATTTGTGTGTTGATATGTACTTGTTTGCGAAGACTCTGAGTCTTTTTAGCAACTTTGAGTGACATTCCAGTGAGAAACGTCTGAGATTTGACTACACACAAAGTGCTGCTGTGGCTCTGTCAGTATAGTAGTGAGGAACAGTAAATTAAATGTCATGAGAAAACCAATAACAAATCATGTCTTAAAAACACTAAATACATTCTCATAAGTCTGGCTGGCAGTTATCATGATATAATTTCTTTTTCAGTTTTTCAAATTCCAAATAATAATTTATTCACTTATTTAAAGTTTAGAATGTATTAAAATACCATTCATCAGTTCATCTAGTGCATTTACTTTTTACAAGCCTCCATTATTTAAAGGGACAGTTCACCCAAAAATGAATTCTAAAATTCTGTCTACATTTACTCACTGTTTTATGTCCATACAATGCAACTCAATGGGATACAGTGTTGTTTTGAATCAGTGTTAACAACTCAAATTTGTTTTCATTCATTAAAAAAAATCATTCATTATAAAGCGGACTTAAAATATAAACATTAGATGGAAAACTTAAATTTAAAAAAATTGCCTTGGCAACTAACTGAAATAAAATAAGTTTAAAAAAAGAATCAAAATAGAAATATTTAAGTTAAAATGAAAACTGAAAATATAAAAATAAAAGCTAATTCAACATGTAAATACTATAATAGTATATAAATAAAAATAAAACAACATTGTTTGGACAAAAACAGTGGAAATATTCCTCAAAAAAATAAAAAAATCCGTTCCACGGATCCAATTCCATATGACATCAGGGTGAGTAAATGACAGATTTTGTTTCTGGGTGAACTATCACTTTAACTCTTATATTTAAAAAAACAAAAAACTCAAAACATTAAGAATGTAGCTTCCTTTCCAAGTATTCAAAACATCTATTTGTTCCCAGAGAAGAGGTCATTGTGATTACAAAGGAATTTCCCCTTTTGACTGCTGGGCCCTTTATAACAAAAAAGCTGATATATCTGAGAACCTTGGTTTCCAAGACATCTGCCTTAGTCTTGAGATATAATAAGCTATGCTACCACCCATTTCCCAATGAAGTCAATGTGACATGCTTTATAAATCACTGCCTGTTACTTCATAATTCTAAAACTATGCAAGTAACAGGTCTAGGAAACCAATTATGACTTTAGTTTTTCATATCTTCATTTTGAAATCTACTGTTATTAATGAATGGCAATGTCACAGTGTCACTGTCTGTACTGATGCAAACATGCCTGGTATCTGTATTACTGAATTTGCATAGAAGCATTAAGAATGTCAGACCTGTTGAACAAAATGAGGGTGGAATTTTCCAGCCAATATCTATCAATGTGGAGCACAAAAACAAAAAAGATTTAATTAATCTTTGCCAAATAATCAGTAAGAAAATTCTACACACTGATAGATGACTACTGAAGCTTAAAAAGACAGCTGCACAATAATATTGACTGTAAGCTATTAAGTCTATAAACAAATTGTACACGTTTCACAAAATCCACATCCACATGTGCTGAAGGCACATGCTCCACTTATAATTATGTTAGGATCTCCTTTTCATTTCACCATGTCAAGTGTTTATAATAAATTATATATGTCCATAGTATGCTGCTGCATTGAGCTTCTCACCTTCAGGTCATCAGGGACCAGCATCTTCCGAGCCTTTTTAATCATGGGCTGAGGTTTGAGCTCTTCGTCACTGAACCGATGCCTACGGGGGTCAAATGCCTCCTGTCCAGGTACACTCGACAGTGCAACGTCCGCAGGATCAGGGTCAAAGGGCGCCAACATTTCATTGCAGTTAGCGATGGGTGGAGTAGGGAGTGGTGGACATGTGGTGGAAGAAGGTGAGGGCATTGGCTCCAAGCTGCCTGGCGGAGTGCCTGATGGTATAAGCACAAAGTGGATGCTTTGATTAAGTCACGCTGCTATGTGCATGCACTCAGAATGAGAGGACTCGCAAAACATTACCCAAAAGACCCACAAGAGGGCAGTAACAGGCAGCAGACAACAACTCGATCCATTAATCCTTCGCTTGTTTTTCCATTTTCCAACATTTCTACCCTAAACTCTGCATTTCAGAATATTTAAACTGGCCGTTTCATTCCTCTAAAAAATTTGATAGTGAATTTATGCTAACGCAACCAAACTACATTTATTTATTCATTCAATGTTTGTATGAATGTATTTTTTACTTATATTTTAGACCTTACACCCATGTACAGGCAAATAACTACAATGAAATAACTTAAGCAAGAGTTGGACAGTTAAATCTATATATATACACATACACATACATATATATATATATATATACACATACACATACATATATATATACACATATACACATACATATATATATATATATATATACACACACACACTATTAACCACATACATATATATCATAGATATATAGATCAATTTAACTGAGAAGCAAAGCTAGCTATTAAGACTTGTTTTCAAAGAATATATCTTGAATTACGTTTATTTTTCTACATTGGCCAATTTTAAACCTCACTAATATTTTTTTTATCATTAAATGAGAAAAAGACAGGGGTAAGAAAAATTATATACATTTATATATACATTTCTTATAATTATATATAAATATATAACATAAAAGTACATTCTCTGACACCAATATACACAATTTGTCAGTGGAATTAGAAAATCATTTTTTAAAAATGTATTTAAAATGGATAATATAACATGTACTGAAAAAAAAGGTTACTTACAATGCATTATTTCTTTACACAGTTAACGTGAACCCTGTCATGATAACTACTGTTGCTATGTTTTGAGCAATAAACCTAATCTAAATCTGTTAAGTGCCCTTAAGGGTAACTTTAACCCCATTTGGCAATTATCCTCTCTTTACTGTCCACTGAAGCACATGCACTTTTTTTTTTTTGAGATGGCTTGATAAAATCTGTGCAAGTATGTGATGTGGTGGCTTCTGCATGTGCTTTTTAATCACACAGAACATTCCAAATATTTACCAGTAGCACTTTTAATCTCTCTCTCCTCAGCCACTCTAGAAATGTAAACAAACATCTAATCGGAAGTACAACACGCACTAAGTCATTCCATCTCAATCTTTCAATCGCTCCCTGTGTGTTACTCGCACACACTCCCACACATACCGCCTCTCCTCTGCCCCTCCCCCATCCTCGCTCTCACTCTGCCTGCCTCGGCACGTGATTGAGCGAGCGCACATGGACCAAGCGTGTGAGAAGAGGAAGAGATTTAAAAACATGCGAGCACAACCGCACACACAGCATCTCTGCCTTTCATTCTTTGCTCCTGGCTCACCTGTGTGTCTACCACTGTTTATTTACCGGCCTTTCAATCGCTGTCTTGTTCTCGGCTTTATATCAAATTATTTTCCTTTCTTTTCACTTGCTGCCATCCCTATTTATCTTTGTATATCCTTTTTGTCAACCCTGCAAGTCATACTGCAGTTTTCTTTTTTGTTTATTTCTAACCAGCCCATTCTTTTCTAATAACAAGCACGCAAAATTCCCACTCACCTTTTAAACAGCCGTTACTCAAGTAATTAATTTTGATGACACAAAAAATATGCAATGTTAACACGTGACGTACCTATAAAACAAAACTCACTCGCCATAGCACAAACAGCTGCACACCCTGTAACACTCACTCCCAAAAACTGGCCAAACCTCTCGACAGTGAAGCCTACAACACGCACCATGTGCATCTATACACACTCAACAACATACACACCCAAACCATTAATACTCTGAAACTACACAGTAGCACACACCCATGGGACAGTCTGGTACTTTTTACAACTTCCAAACAGAACGAAATCCAGGGGAATTTCTTGTAAGCAAAATTAGGTAAGTGTTTGTTCTGTGTAGACCTCATTTTCGGCCCACAGTGCTTCCTTTCTTCATCTCGATGGCTTACCTCCAGACTGTTCGTCTCGCAGGTTTCTAACATCGTGTCTAGCTTATCTTTCACAGCTAGTTAAATCTCTGAACTGCGAATGCAAACTCACCATGCAAGCATTCTGCAGCTCCCATCATGCTTTGCGGCGTGTGCATGTCCAGCCCGAGCAGAGAGGGCGAGGAGGAGGCGGTGGTGGATGTCGGTGAGGAGGATGAGGAGCAATGTGGGGGCGAGGTGGGGAGGCACTGGGAACCCTGGTTGGGGACGGCGGACTGAGAGCTTTGCGAGGGTATCTGAGCCGAGGTGGAGTTTGAGGTACTGTGCATGTTGCTCATCCCGTTCTCTGTCAGAAACTCCTCGAGATCCATGTACTGCAACTGGAACAGACCGCCATCACATGGCAATGTTCGTTCCCATAGCAACGGGCCCAGGAAGGAACTGTTGTTGCCGTTAGAGAAGTTGCCCGTGCCTGCACCGTTGCTGTCAGTGACTAGTCCATTGCTGCAGCCGTTGCGCAGAGGACAACGACTGAGAGAGTCTTCATCAATATCCAACCTGTCCTTACCTATGAGAAAGTGAAATCCAACTTAATCTGCATATAATTTTACTCTCATAATTGAACACTCTCAAACCATCTAAAAAGACATTCTAGTTGTTCTTATGAACACATATATTGACTTTTATAGACTTCAAGAGAGCAATATTTCTGATGGGCTCATATTACGTAGTTAGGGACAGAATAACACTTCCCAGCAACTTTCACATCACTCTGGGAGAACTACCTCTGCAATGTCAACACATGTGAATAGTTCCCAGTGCATCAATGCAAAATGAAGAGCCTTTGAAATACTTTCCTTTAAACATGTAAAAGATTGATGTTTTTCGATATTCCTGAAGAACCATGGTAAAGCAACTACAATGTTACACCGCAGTGACACTGCTTAACTTTGTAGTTCAGCAACCATACAGCTGAACAATGGCTAAATGTTACAGAACTATGGTATTATGGCTGAAACAAAGCCATGATGGAAAAGGCAACAGGTGTAACACAAAGTCAGACGTGTATTGTTTAACACAATATTACACTAGTGTAACATAGCAATTTTTCAAAGATGCATTGCTCTGATATAGATTGAGATATAGTGTAGTGTATATTGAGTTACGTGGATACTGGTTAAGTTTAGTTGGTATAAAACCGCTTCTAATCTACAGGAGTGAAGCAATGCTAAAAACAATGTGAAAACGGACATGGCGTCTGAATGTCTTAAATCTGAAGGTCTTTAAGGTTTCCGTCTTAAAGTATTTAGATGGGGTCTGAGACACTCTAGGGTGGGGTCTAAAATCTTAACAACACTAGTTAGGCTAAATCAGGCATTTTATGGTGCATTGGTGAGGAAACCAGAACCAGAAAAGAGAGTTTGAGATTAGACATTTCTGGTTTAGCTATACTGTATAAAAACAAACCATAATTTTACTGCAACATGTTTTAACTTTGAATTCTCTTCTCTACAATAAACAGCAGAATGTCACTAAAAAAAATACTCAAGCTTAAAAACAATTAACCACACCAAAAGCGCAAAAACTGTTCTTGAATCATTTACGTACCGTTTGAAAAATATCAGTGTTCAAAATTTACTGCAGTGGTTTTAACAAATGATTCAAAAGTCGTCTGCACAGAAAGTGGATTGACACTGGCATAAGAGTTTTTTTCTCACCTATTTAGGGTCCATTTCTATTAATGTTGACCAGATAATCAGTACAAAACAATGCCACTGACAGCAATCCATAAAGAAGCTTTTCCAATATTCACAATGTTGTATTCACAGGCAGTGGAAAACTTCCATCTGTGTGCTTACACTGTGCATTGCACATGACTGTAAACAAAATGGCTTAGCCAACAGCTGACCTTAAAGTACCTGGATAGTGAGCTAAGTGGCTGAATAGCCTGGCCTTGTTTATCTCTTCAACTAAGTCCCATGTGATGTCCTGTCTGCGGCTCGCTGAGATTTAAGCACAATTGCACATGACCCTGTCATTTGTCATGTTCAACCACACATTTTTATAATCAGTAATCGGACCAATAAGGAAACTATCTAGCCTTGTGACTATTAACAATATTTAGACTTTCCAAAGGGGAACAAACAAAAGGTTGAGAGGGAGTGCGTTATAATAAACACTGAGTGTCAGGGAAGCAGGTGCGTTTCCTCACCCTTCATTTCACTACAGTCTTTGACGCGCTGGTCGCCCTTCACTGGGAGCTGCAGGAGCGACTTTAAGTTTGCAGTGGAGTTTAAGTGTCCTCCGTTAAGTGAGCCTCCAGCCTGGATACTGTTGCCAAACTGTGGACTGGCTCCGGCAGAGTGAAGGTCCGGTGGAAGGAGCTGTGAAAGCGGCCTGGCCATCATCCAACGTCCGCCGGATTGAGCTCCTTTGACCGCTAGATGTTTGATGATTCAATACTATTGTGTAGCCGTGAAATCAATCACATGACGATAACAGTGGAAACAACAACAACAAAAACCAGCTTATCATGTGTAAATAAAGTGATAGAAACATACTTATTACTTTTCTTCTTTTAAAGAAAAAGAGATTGGCTATAAGTAGTATGGCATCTCTAAAAGGTGAGAAAAGTACATGGGATACATAGTTGGCAAGTGGACAGACTGTCACACATTAATACACTTAATCAAGACCTGATCTAAAGTGATAACTCGTACAATCACTCTTCCAACTACCTGAAGTGTAGCTACGATAAAAAGATAATTGACTTTTGCTAAAAAACATAATAAAATATTGACACAATTTACATTACAATACACATATTTCTTTCCATTCCTCCCTTAGGCTCTATACATAGACGCTACATTGCGTTACTCATAAATGTGTTGTTTTAACTGTAACAATTTGATAAGGCTTGTGCCTTTAGGGCAATAATCTGTATTACATTTTTTGTTCTTTGACTGGTTTTTCCTGTTTAAGTGCTAGCGTTAACATCTTAATGGTAGTATTCTTTAAGAACAGTAAATAAATCTAAACAGGGCTCACATTTGATATTAAGAATTGTTAATCAGCATCAGGACTCCAGACTGCGACCATTTTTTTCTGCCGGTCACACTGGTGCATATGAGAAACATCAAACGGCAGACGAAACGGCGCTACTCGTTTGAGCTGCGCAGCACAAACTGGTCCGAGCTCAGAACAAGTTTACTCGGGAACCAGTTGCTCTCACGACACTGTTACTGCACAGCGCTGCGAGATCCAATGAGAAGCGTTTATTATAAACAGATCAAACAGCACTGACATTGAAAATCAGAAGTAGTAACGCTAAATATAACCAAGGTGTTGAGGCAGACACAGTCGAATGTTATTACATTATTAATTTCAGGGTTTGTACAACCTTTTGAGAGAAGTTCAAGCACTTTTCAATGACTTTCAAGTATTTCACACAACTATTTACAGCACTTTAAAGCTATAAAAATGATCCAATTTAAATTTTATTTTTAATAGGATAACCAAAATTTACTTTGAGGTAAACAAACTCTTATTAAAATTCAAAAGATATCAAATTACCAATGTAACCAGTAAATGGCAAAAGAGGATCACTTTTCGGCTTATTAGTCATTAATTTCCACTTTTGCTTTATATTTTGAGATTATAAAATCAGTTATAAAATATATCACTAAGAAATCAAATTTTGTCAGAGTTTTGCATTTTGTGTGTGTGTGAAGAAAAAGTCACAAAGTGCCTTGAAAAACTAACTTTTCTTCAATTTGCAACAATCACAAAGCCCCCAGCGCTATCACATCTGCTTCTGGCGCCACCATCTGTAGAACTCAGTGGAGCTGGTGCCACTGCAATCAATTGTTAGTCTGGAGCCCGGAGCATGTATCATTATTATGCATTCATTTATTATGTTTCCTCTATTAAAGGGTTAGTTCATCCAAAAATGAAAATTAGCCCATTACTCACCCTCAAGTCATCCTAGGTGTTTATGACTTTCTTCTTTCAGACGAATCCAGTCGGACTTATATTAAAAATGGTCTTTGATCTTTCAAGCTGTTTCATGGCACTCAGCGGGTGTTGCATGCATCAGTCCAAAAGCACTTAATTATAATGCGCCCATCCATTAAAAAAAAGGGTCTCGCACGGCTCCGAGGGGTGAACAAAGGCCTTGTGTAGTGAATTGATGCGTTTTTGTAAGAAAAATATATCCATATTCAAAACGTAATAATCACTTTAATCTAACTTGCGCTCACTGTTGTACACTGGAAGCAGTTCCGGGAGCATGACGTATGAGGTCAGCGCTGCACATGCGCCGGCGAGTCTCGTGAAAACCAACGTTTGTGAACAGGAGCAAAGGAAGCAAAGTTTCCTTACTTTAGCAAAGGAAAACCAGTCTCCTCTTGGCTTATATCAAAATCCTCCGACATTCTTCTTTACAAATCCTCATTTTGTACTTCTAATTAGTGACCGTTGTTTTGTTTTGATCTCTCCACTGCGTTTCCACGTGCGTCACTTCTGAGCGGCGCATGCACAAAGCCGACCTCCATACGTCATTCGCCCAGAGCTGCTTCCAGTGTACAACAGTGTACAAGCTAAAACAAAAGTGATTGTTGCATTTTGAATATGGATATTTCTCTTACAAAAACGCATCGATTCGCTACAGAAGGCCTTTGTTCATCCCCCTGATGCATGCAACACCCGCTGAGTGCCATGAAACAGCTTGAAAGATCAAAGACGATTTTTTATATAACTCCGACTGGATTCATCTGAAAGAAGAAAGTCATAAACACCTAGGATGAATTGAGGGTAAGTAATTTATGGGCTAATTTTCATTTTTGGGTGAACTAACCCTTTAAGAGTTGAGATAAATTATCAATTGGATTTGTCATGTAACCATCAGAGTCCACAGACTCATCACTCACGTTAACCTTTCAACACATGGACAGTAATGTCCAACATGCAGTAATTTAAATACTCCTTCAAATAAAATACTCATACTCCTAGCAAGACCCTTTTTTCACCTTCTGATACTGAATGCACTTTTTACATTAACAAAATCACATCTCCACACTTGCTCTAAGTGAACACCAACAACACAATATATATCAGAGACAGAATAATTCTACAGAGCATCTGTTGAGGTGAGCAATAGCCTACTGTTAGGGCACAGTACAATATTCGCCAAATCACAGAAACTTCATCTATTGCCAGCCAAGGATAATTTCAATATGAACAAGAGTTTCCTCTTAGAAGACCGGTGTGGTATTGGATAGATGGGTAGGCTAAGCATTTCATTAAAACAAATGTCTTTGATACATTTGTGAGTTTGTTGAAGGTGTTCATTTTCAGGGGTCCAAGTTACAAGAGGAGATTTAATATGAATGAGAGAGAAAAGAAAAAGCTCTCATAACACACAAGTCGATGCCTACATGAGCATAAGATGTATTCAGTCAGATATCTCAGTTCTTCTCATGAAAATCGCAACACTTCTCTTCTCAAACTGCATATGAAAATGAGTTTAAAGGCAAAACTTAGTGACTATATTCCATATGCAAGGATGAAGAGTTCCCTTTACACTCAAACCTTCTGTATGTTGATCCCATGACTAATTTAACACAAAGAGCCCTATCTCGTTGAAACTTAGCCAACGTCCCTCGACACACCTTCTTGTGCCGTGTGAGGAGCATTGCATTCCAGAAACGACAGGGACAATGTTTACAAGAAAATGCTCTGTTGGCTAAATGGGAGCTTCTGTGAATGAGAGCTGAGAGGAACTTGCGAGACTGTTTTCCACAAACTGGACATTTCAAACGATGCTGAAGGCCTCTCACTTTGGGACAATGTCTAGCTGCTATATGAACTTTAAGGGCTACCTGTTGAGAGAAGGTAGCATCAAGGCAAAGGGGGCAGGACTTTCGTTTCAGAGGAACTTTGAGGGACCGAAGCCTGTTAAGCTTCAGTCCACCTGGAAGGCCCAGTTCATACACAGCACTTCCTCCACTTCCACGCCTGATTCTCACGAGCACAGCCATGCGCTTCTTAATTTTATGTTGCGTCCTGTGAATTGCTCGCCCTTTTCTCTTAACAAGTTTTCTTCTCTCATTTCTCTGCCTTTCCCCAAGGGAGACCTCCACCTGTTCTCGCTCTACTTTTTGCGCCGGGGTCCATTTGTAGCCTATCTCCTCTCTCTCTTTCCGTCTTTTTTTTTTCTTCTTCCATCTCCTCAACTCCTCTTGGCTTTGAAAAGTGTGGTGTTGTGTAGAATGAATATCAGCTGAATGCTGCTGGGAATTGTGGTGTTGCTGATGTGGCTCTGATGGAGGCAACACGAGAGAATGCACAGGTATGTCTGGAGTAAGAGTATGCCCATGACCAGTGTGATAAATGGGTTCACCCTTTATCCCAGTGTGTTGCTGCTGATGGTTACAAAGAAGAGGCCCTGAGGAAGTTGACGCCAGAGAATGAGAATAAGAGGAGGCATTAGATAAAGAAGGGTGTGCAACATTGGTATCGGGTATATAGAACAGAGGGGAGTAGCCAACTTGTGTTTGGGGAGGAGCCTGTTGGCTATGAAGAACTCCATGTTGTTCGGCATGTGTGCCACTAGGTGGCGCAAGCTGAAGCAAAGCATTTGTAGCAGCTTCACTTTCCGATATCGAACCACCAACACCGTTATCTTCCCCTGTGCTCCTTTGAGCAACTGGCTGGCCAGTCCGTGTTAAGCCATGCTGTGAAAGCCTGTGTCGTGTAAGGCTGTTAGAGTATGCAAAAGCCTTACCACAGACTTCACAAGAAAACAGCTTTTCTCCACCACCCTCGTGAACAGTTTGGTGATGTGCCGTCAAGTGAAAGTGATGGCGGAACGATTTCCAGCATATAGCACATGTGTACAGTCTAGGAGGTGGCTGAGTGGTTGATGTCTGTGGTTTGACATCTTGAGTGTATGAATAGAACAAAGAAGAGCTGCTTTGACCCCCTTGAATCAAGCTGCCACCAGAGGATGGATAGCTGTTAAGGTTTTCCCCAACTGGCGTTGTTGGCACTTCTTCAATTTCTCCTTTCTGGTGTAGCTTGCCATGTCTTTTAAGGCTCTGAGCATATCCAAAGTCCTTTCCACATAGAATACATTTGTAGTTCTTCTCTCCAGAATGCACTGTGTGGTGCTTGCTAAGATGAAATGCCTCTCTGAAGTACTTGCCACACACAGTACAATGGTGAGGCTTTTCTCCAGTGTGTATTCTGTCATGCCTCCGCAAGGTCTCTCTTCTTGCAAATCCTCGACCACAGACGCTGCACAAATACAGTCTAACATCACCAACGGGAACTCCTGGTCTGTGAGAGGACTGCCTTCTTTTAGGAGGCTCAGTACCAACCACCCCAGGTTCCTTCTTCTTGCGGGGCTTACGAGGGCGCTTGGGCTTTCCACCAGGTGTCTGCTGATCTGGTTGCTGGTTGAGGGCCACTGCACTTGGGTCAGTACTTCCTCTATAGGACTTTTCCAGGCCAGATGTTAATAACGGATCACTAGGTGAGGCAAGAGGCCCTAGACCCAGACCTCCAAGTAATCCACCAATGATATCCCTTCGATCATCCCCTCTACCTCCACTATGGGCAAGAGCACCACTCATACAATTTGCAGCTGCAGCAGTGATAGCAGAAATGGCACTGTTGACAGAGCTAGTGACATCATCTTCAGAATCCTCTAACAGGGATGAAAGTGGGAGATGTGGCTGCTGATGATGATGCTGGCTTTGGTTTTGTGGGTGTGGATGCAGAGTAGGAGCTAATGATGCCTTCCTAAGTCCAGGCCCTGTCATGCTGCCACCACCACATAGGGTTGTTCCAGAATACAAGTTACTTTGAGAGCGCTGGTCCTTGTAGTCATCACTGAAATCATCACTCCGGTAAGAACCTGCATAACAGACTAAACAGTAATAATGCTATGCACACAAATTTCACAGTGCCTATGAAAAATTGTGACTTTTGAGTGGGTTTACTAAAAATATACACTACACTAGACGTTACTCACCCGCTGCATTAGTTGCTATTCCATCTTGGGAGCCCCCAGCTTTATTGCGCCTGCTTTCTATATTACTTTCAAGCTTAGGTCTTGGTGTACGGTCTGACTTGCCACAGGTGCCCGAGGCTGCATGGTTCAAAAGGGATGTACTTTCCCGAAAACAGCGACCACAAGCTGGACAGCGGAATGGTTTCTCTTCATGTATTTTTTCATGGCGGGTGAGTGACTCACGACGATTGAAAGCACGACTACAAGTAGTGCAGGAATAGGGCCTTGCGCCAGAGTGGATGACACCATGTTGAAGTAGGTGCCCCTTTTTCTTGAAACATTTCCCACACTCAGAACAATGAAAAGTCTTGTCAGGACTACCACACGAAGATGAGGCTGCGCTCTCTTGAGTAGAGTGGGGAATACTTGGATCGGAAGGATGCAGAACTGGGTTTAAAATGTTACTTCTCGTGCCACTTGTGCCAGCTGTGGTTAACTCATGACTACGTAGGTGCCTGCGCAGACTAGAGAGATGTGTGAAAGTTTTGCCACACTCACCACACTGATAAAGGAGTTCTTGTTCAGGATGAGAATGAGGTGGCATGCAACCATGGCTGTCTGTTTTGGAGACATTTGTCACCAAGACTGATGCTGATGTAGAAGAAGATGCAGAAGAAGATGATGAGACAACAGAAGTAGAGGATGATGAGGTTAGGTGAGAAGAAGGGTCTCTGCCAATACCTGACAAACTAACACCCCCACCTCCATCCAAGCCTGGTGTGTTATCTTGGTTGAGTCCCCCTGAAGTGCTATTGTTGGGGTTTGTAGAGCTGTGACTGCTGCTGCTATTGTTGTTGCTGCTTTCCGACTTTCTCTGTGGCAGGTAGCCAGCCATGGCTTTCTTTCTCCTACCACCCCCTATACCACCACTTTCTCCGACAGCACTATCCCCTTTACCCTCCTCTTTTGATAAAGACAGATGTAGAGGAAGTGGAAGTGGCAAACCAGCTTCCTGCTGCATTAGAGATGCTAGCTGGTTGGAGGAGAGTACTGGAATTCCTTGAAAGTCAAAACCTCCGAACGAAGAATGTTGCGATGAGGAGTGCAGTGGATGGTGTGGATGTGGGTGAGAGTGAGACAAAGTGTGAGGTGGCAGTTGCTGCTGTTGTGATGGTGGCTGTTGAGGCTGTGATAGAGTAGTTGAGTGACCATGAGTGTGTGAAGAATGAAGAGCGGGGGGTGGTGCAAGGGCTGAACTTGTTTCTCCTGCAGCTTGGCCCAGACCAAGACCAAGATGGTTATGACTGCCTTGCTGAACTAAAAATTGTTCTAGACTGGAATTGGCTGGTACTCCAGAAAGAAAATACTGATTTGCAGCTAACATACAGCTAAACTGTTGATGTAGGCTTCGGGCATCAGACTGAGATCCTGCTAACTGATGACTAAAGGTAGTTACTGCACTACTGCTGGGAGGGTTATTGGAAGTTGAAACAGAACTTGAAGGAGATGGGGAGGAAGACGATGGACCAGGGGAGGCCTGAGGGACTGACAGGCCAGGATGCAATGGGGGTGGTGGTGGTGGAATAGATGAAACCAGTCCTCCAATTGCCCCTGCAGTTCCTCCACTTCCACTACTGCTGGCAAAATGATCAAATCGCCCTACTCCTGAATGTAACTGCTCTTGTGCAAGGGTTGCCTCAGTAGGGTGAAATGAGCGCAAAAACTGGGGGTATCCACTCACATGACTTCCACCACCGCTGCTGCTTCCAGACATTTTGCTGGATTTCCTCAAACTTTGAGAGGATGAAGAGAGGGATTGCTGCGCCAGAGGTGGGGGAGGTGCACTCATTTTTGCAAAAACTGATGCAGAATCTGTAAAGGCACTGCCTCTAGATGCTTGTAGCGGGCCTAAGCCAAGTCCAGACAAAATTGACCCAGATGTCTCACCTTGCTGCTGCTGTAACTGGTGTTGGTGAAGCTGCACTTGGTGTTGGTGTTGAAGTTGTCGCTCTAATCCAAGACCTTTGAACTGATGGGATTGGTGTCCACTCAGCATCTCTATGATGTCCACATTGTATTTTCCAAACTGGAACATCTCCCAGTTACTGAAACATGGGTGCGCAGTGGCAACACCTTCTGATCTTTGAGCAGCAACAATATTTCTATGATGCTTTTCTACTGAGTTGTGGCCAGAAGTATTTTCAAAAATAGTGCTACCTCACATTTTCCTTGTGCTTCTGATGTTGTTTCATTTAAAGTGGGCACCCACATTCTCACTCTTCAGGTAAGTAGTCAATAAGCACATTTTGTATCGATTGTAACATGAATATGTAATTTCTGCAAAAAGCTGTTTTTCAATGGGATATGTCACTAACGAGATGACCAAAGTCGACTCCCTTTTGGCTTCACATTGGATTCCATATAATCACAGTTATTTGAGTTCAAATTTGATATCAATATTTCAGTCTGAATGTTCCATAAGAGTGCAAAGACATATGGACTGGTAAAAGAATGCCACAACTGCACGAGATGCAATTATGTTTTCACATTTTGGGAAGTGCACTATAAGTGCTTACTGTTGTCCGAGTTCATTGAAAAAATGTCACTACATGAATATGTAATTTCTGCAAAAAAAGCTGTTTTTCAATGGGATATGTCACTAACGAGATGACCAAAGTACTCCCTTTTGGCTTCACATTGGATTCCATATAATCACAGTTATTTGAGTTCAAATTTGATATCAATATTTCAGTCTGAATGTTCCATAAGAGTGCAAAGACATATGGACTGGTAAAAGAATGCCACAACTGCATCAGATGCAATAATGTTTTCACGTTTTGGGAAGTGCACTAAAAGTGCTTAATGTTGTCAGAGTTCATTGAAAAATTTCCACTTGCTTGGTTACATTTTTTAGTTCATGACCATCCAACAGTAGGATGGATCCCTCCAAATCCCATGGGCTGGTTTCATTACATCCAATATCTATTCATCCTTAATTCACTCTAGCAAAAGTGGCTTACATCTCCGTTTCCAAGTTTCAATTAATACTTTTTTTTCCATAGCTGGAAGCAAAATCCTCAACTACTATTCTTGGGGGCTGTGAAAATGTTCTTTCTGCCACTCCTCTTCTCACTGTGAGAGGAAAAAAGGTTGTAAAATGTTAAATTATTGATTTTAAACAAAATTCTGGTACAATTCTTCTAAAAAACATAAACCATCAAAACCATAAAGACAAAACATTTTTAAAAAATGAACAACAACAACAACAGACTGTTTATTACAGCAGGCATTTTAATATTTGTTTGTTTAATACACAGAAAATGTAACTTGTGTGTGAATAGTTATGGGAGTACTGGCACATCTCCGAAAAAGTTCCAAGTGCATCACTTGAACATCTCATGGCATTTCCATGACTTCATTTTTGCTCATTTGTATTCTTAAACAGCAAAATGATAATAATAACTCACAATAACAAAAACAATTTTAAAAACCTGAGTTTCTATTATTTCTAGTGATCCATATATATCTAAACTTAAATCAAATTATAACTGACATTCGTAATTCACCTTGAAATACTACATCGTATTTAATAAGTTTATAACATCCGTTCATTTTATCAACATCATTTAAATTACAAAAATTAACAGACATATTCAACTGATACTCGCTGTAGAGTGCACTGATGCATTTAACGAATGTTATTTTACCATCACAACACGATACTAAACAAAAGTAGTGTGAAATACGTTCTCAGACGATTTGCGAAATGAAAACAGTAAGATAATGCACATTTCCAAATATAGACATTTTTCTTATTTAAACGTCGCGAGTGTTTTCTATCACTTTATCTTACACTCTGAACTGTTGGCATTGTGCTGAAAAGATGCAGAGTGCGGGTGAATCGTCAGGGGTAACGTTAGAGGTGAATTTCATGTAACTAATTATTACATCTTCCGATTGCATCGCGTCTCACTAAAGAAAAGAAAATGTCCATTTCGACAGACTCCGGGGAGTAATAGAAGAAACAAAAACCGTCTACGATGGGGAAAATGCACTTCGATTTTCAACAGTGCTTTAAAAACGCTCTTCAGAGTACTAACGGACTCAAAATCTTTTCGCGCTGGGGCTATGTGTAACATGTTAGCATGCAAAACAGCTGGCTAATACTACAAATTCAGCAAAGGGACACACACAGCTTAGCTTGCCGTCATGATGCGCGACCTAACAACAGCAAGCCAGATAATGCAGGATCAGAACTGTCTTATTGTGCAAGTAGATTAATCATAACGAAATCACAGTCGAGACAATAAAATAGGCCTTTTTACCTACGCATCCATCTTTTAGCCTGGTCAAGATGAACAGGGCCTGCTACACTCTCTCCCACCCTGCCCCCCTCATGTGGGGCTCATGTGCCCCAGCAGCTCTGCGCTGTTTTCCAGTGGTTAGCCTTCTAGCTACAGCTAGTTAGCGGACTCTGTTTCCACTGCAACCGAATGTCTCTTACACTGTAGCACTTGTTGTACTTATATCCTGTGAAAAATGCATCAAACTGTATTACGACCGTTTACTTTTTATTTTGCGGGGGGGTTTTTTGTCTGCTAAAATATTTTTGGACGGTCTGTGTTGATGTTTTAGAAAGAACGAATGACGTGTGAGATTTTAACATGGTCGTTTCCGGACCTCGGACCACTTCCGGCTACCCCGTTATCTGTCCGTTATGTTTATTTAATTATTTATTTGTGGTCGAGACAGCGTTCGTGTGAAAGTACTGTAACGTTACTCCGAATATTGTAGTCTTTAATTATACAGTTACTAATGACGATAGGGTTCGTTTGCTTTTTAGCTGTATTGTGTATGCCGATAGCTTTCAAGTGTTTTCAGCGTTGTTGTTGTTGTTGTTGTGCTGCAGTCCAATTTGACATGTTAGCGAGCTCGCAATAGGTAGCCTAATTCTTACGTGATTCCGAGTTACAACTCGCCGAATATAATTCTGATATAATATACTAAACGTGCTATTCATTTATTGTAGGATTCTTTTAGCATTATGTTTGTATCTTAGAAGCTCTTATAGTGGCCATTTTATTACATACTGACAGCTCAAATTCAAAGGCAGGTCCTTATCAAAATGGCTGCCTTGGAATTGCTAGTCTTATTTCCAGTCTGGTGCTTCATGGAAGATAAGATTGTAAACATTGTGTAGTAAATGCCGACAATGTGAATAATTAAAAATGTTCTGTCTCTCCTTATATGTGTGTCACCAGACATTCGAGGCAACAGTTTCATCACTTGGATTTTATTTTACAAAGGTGAAATTTAACCTGTATGGAAGGATGCTCTATGTGTGTGTGTTTGAGAGCATTTGTTATGAAAGTAAAATATTCTACTGCTTCTGTGCTTAGAAACTGCAAGACCTGGGCTCATTGCTGTACTCCCAGGGTTTCAATCTTCATTGTCCTGCATTGCTTGTGTGCAACCAATGCACATCCCATTGTAGGCTATCAACCTTTTAAAATGCTTCAGGGCTTTATTTGCACATCCAATGTTTGTTATTTTCTGCAGTAATATACCTTGTAAATAAATTCCATAAACATTTTCATAATTATGGCTTGTGGATACAAAACAGACATTGCTACAGACTTTTTATGACAAAGAAAATACTAAATTGATTCATCTGTTCTAATTGTCCCTGAAAGAAACAAGTTGAAATTTCACTTAATCAACAAAGAGACGACATTCGGTTACACACATACAACATACATCCTATGACATCATTTATAAACCCACTGTGATGTCTCTGCAACAAGTAATGGCATTTGCAGGCTTAGAACAATTACTATGTGACATCACATTGAGAAATTTTTGAAGGCACTCCTTATCATTAGGAATGCATGAAGAATTGGCGAACAATGTGGCTTTAAAGTTTGTGCTTCTATTTTCTACTCATAATTTCAAAAGAATTTCATGAGAAAGAGATCTAAAACAAGTTAACACTAAAACCACAGAGGAAAAAAAAAATCACCATCGTAATCATAATATAACCATAACAACAAGAAGAAATTTCACCAATAACCATAATATTAACTGTCATAGTAATGACAATAACAAACACCAATGTATTACAGAGCTGTTAGAAAGATTGTCTTTAAGTTGTATTCATAATTCATTAAGATACACACTAGTTCCAGTGAAAAGTTAAATGAATGGGTTACCACCAATCCTCCTGATGCTGATGTGATATAAACTACTCCTTAACACTTTTACTGGGAGGCATATATATTCAAATAGTCTGTAACTTCTAACGTTCAATTTAATTACACTGAAAATTAACCAAGGGGTATAAAGTCAATGACAAAAAAATGACCTCTTGGTGGTTTTACAATGTAAATTGTTTAGTTTTCATTGGTAAAATGAACTCCTGACACCTGTCCTATTTCTTAGAGATCAGAACCATACAGTAAATGATATCTGGCTTGTTTGCGAACAATCTCACATTTATATTTTTCCTTGTAATATTTACTTACTACATTAATATATTTTTGTAAATAATGAGATTATCACTGAATAATGAGTAAGCTGTGGGTAACATCTGTACCACTAACGCATGTGTGTTGTATAGCCCTTAATATTGATAAGCGTTATTGGTTATGAAGATATCAGGTATGACGTGTTATGTTCATATCTCAGTAACTGCAGATTGAAAAATACACGTTAGCTGTTTTGACATGCCCATATCCTCGGACTGTTCGCAGAGTCTCAGTTTTAACAGCATATACACATGGCTTCAATATGGAGATTCAAAAAGCAGTCTAGGAGGTTTGTTTTTATGCAAATGTCAACCCACACCTGAGCGAGATAATGATACTGCCATGTTATGCACTAATTTTATGCCAGAATATCATAACATAGAAATACTTTGATGAGTGCTCTTACTCTTGAGTCATTTTCTTCATCTCAGATCCATATTTAATAGCTTAAGGTGAACCGTTTGTCTACACAGTATACCTAAGAGAAGCATAAACGGGTAAGTACCCAGCATTACAGGAATCTAATGTATTATTCTTGTGCTTTTGGTAGTCCAGCGTCCCTTATGTTGAATCTCTCTTACAAATCCCAGCACTTGGACTTTGTAGAAAGTGGTGGCTCAGAATCCAAACAAAGTGCCATTGATCATTAATGAGTCTTTTTAAATGGAGAAAAAAGATGATTGTCAGACATTTCTCTTGGTTTTCATGCCCAATTGTGTCCCAGAATGGCTTTCATTGATAGTTCAAAGCGATCTCCAGTTATGTGCTGAAGGGCAGACTTGAGAATTTAAAAAGTGTGTACTATTTTGAGGATTTCCCCAAAATAATAACAGACACTCACTTGGTACATCCATGTTAAATTCACACTGAAAAAGATGCAGGTGAAACAATGGTAAGGTATGGTAAGGCTTGCTTTCTCTGTCTCGCAGTATTCAAAATAAGTTCATCAGATTCTTAAAAGTTTATGGATATGCTCCTCAAATTGTTCCATCTCCATTCATTTTGACATTGTGAAAACCCTGACACACTTCACAAATTATGTTGAAGTGGATTAGGGTTTAAAAAAAGAGATAAGATCCAACATTACGTTAGTCCATCTTTAAGTAACTTTACAATTCATCAGTTGGGATAAGCACTCAACTCATATTCAACTGGTTCCTTTTAATGCAGACGTTAATTATTATATTAGTCTCCCAGTAGTTCCATCATAGTTATAAGATGAAAGCCGTTCTCTGAAATATATTTCTCCATAGCAGCTATATCTGTAATGTTTAACAATGTAAAATATCTGAGGATAAAAACATGACAAAGATATGAAAAATGTCTCATCTGTCACATCATGTGGAATTTATATTACACTCTATTGATCTTCTATGCAGTATGTTTATAGGCAAACTTTACGCAAATAAATAGTTGTATATGGCAGCTTTGATCATAATTATAGCGGCAATTTCATGAACATAAAAAGCACGACAACTTTGAAGCTCTATCAAACCTGACTTAAAACTCTTATCTAATCTTATCTTGTGAATTTGCCACTATATACAACATATATCTGTAAAAATATGGTGCCACTTCGCTGTCTGCCTAGTTTCTCCCACTTCGTGGCCCCCTACTTCAAAATCGGTTTCTTATTCCTTTACTATCCTCCTACTCCTTTTCTCTCTTCTCTCGGTATTTCTCTCCCTCTTCCGCCCACTCTCTCTCCCACAGTCCCTCTACCATCCTCCAACTCTTCACACAGTCTATCACTCATCCATCTTTTCCATTCCCTCTTTACCCTTTCCAGCCTCTTGCTCACACAGTAACCTCATTCTTGCTTCCTGTTCTAACCCCTTGGTTCGATGCCACTCCTCCTCCACTTCCCCCTCCACCAGGGATGAAGTGAAGTTGTTCAATGGTATTTTGCCTTTTAGCTGCAAATGCTAGCCTCCTGGCACTGTGTCCACCAAGAGTTCCTGTTCCCATGACAACTCCTGTTCCTGGCATGTCGCCCCATCCCACTCCTCCAACCCCGCCTCCTCCCAGGTGACCTGACATCGCCGCTGAATTCCGCTCCTGCTCTCGCCCCGAGGTCGGGTGCGAGTTCATCTTGATCATGTGGTGACGGTCGAGTGACGGTGTGGCGCAAACATTCTGCTGTGATTGAGCTTTCTGGTGGCTAACACGGGGCAGGGTGGGTACCATTCCACCTCCCCCTCCGGCTGTGTAGTCGCCCATTCCCATACCCATCCTGCTTCCGTCGTACTCAACCCCGCCTACCTCCTCCTCTAGATGGTCTGGGGACATCAGCTGCCTCTCCTTGGACTTCTTCAGGGTGTTCGTATTGGAATTCTTTGATGAAGTGGCCATGGCTTTGTAGTATTGGTGCTGCTGGTTCTTCGACATCCTTGATAAGGTGTTGCCATCACAGAGGGCGAGGAGCTGGTCTGTTGATTTGACGCGACGTGGCGGTTTGGAAAGTGTATCGTAGTTGTGGTTTTGCTTCGACTCCGGTGGATCCAGAGGGTAAGGATTCGGGGTGTGGCTTGGGGCAGACTGTGGATGAGGTATTCGAGGACGAGTAGCACGATTGGGAAGCGTGCCTCTTCCTCCCAGCGTGTAGTCACCACCCCAGGGAAGGTGATGCTGGGAGGAATGAAAGGAGGGAGGGGCGTTGTTGGGCCTCCGTTTGGTGGTACAGTAACCTGAATATTCCTCCAATCCTCCTTTCTCTGTAGGTGCAGTAAAATATGTTTGAAAAGATGAGAAAATTGGGCGAGAAGAAGAACCAATTAGGGATACACAGATATAAAAAAATCTGCCCAATATGAAAGTTTTAATATTTTTATTGACTTTTTTTTTTGTTGAAAAATACAATCAATGTATAAAAGATAATACATTTTTCATGGTATGGTTAACAACCAACAAATGACCAAATCCAAATTCTGTTCAATACCAATAAGACTTTGTTTTCTTGTTTCTATCTATCTATCTATCTATCTATCTATCTATTTATGGCCAATGAATAAAAATGAATTGCCGAAATTACAACTTGATACAATCTGGTCTAAATAAATGAACAATAATACACTAAAAACTAAAAAGCAATCATTTTAAAATGAATTTAGACATCACAACATTATAAT